TAACTAACTGAACACTGCCTGATGATGTAATACCCTAGAAGTAAAGTCATGCTCATCTCTGGTTACCAGGGACTGAATAGTGGCCTGAAAGGGGGAAGGCACAGACTTAAGTTTGGCCCCCTCTCAAGGAGGTAATGACTTCAGGCCTTGGAGACTTGAGTGGGTGAGTCCCACACTAAACCATTTAAGGAGAAACTACACAAAATCACTATATTTAGTGTGTCCTTCCCACATGTTCTAGCTGGTGGGGTGTGGGGAAGGAACATCAAAAGACCATCAGAAGCTCCCAAATCATGACATTGTGAGGACTGGTTCACTGTGCTCTTAGCTAGCTTTAGCTGGGACTCCAAGCTACACAGATAGGTTTTATGTATTTAGTGGAGCCAGATCTTATGTAAGAAATAGTCTTTGTAATCAGTGGACAAGGGGAATAATCACATACAGACAGTTACACTTGAAAATCCTTAAGTTACCAAGGGCAGTTTGTGTATACAACGCGTACAGCCATATTCTATTACATAAGTGTAACACCATGTTTATTTCTTCCATTTTATATGCCTTGGGACAGGTGATTAATGAGTAGAATCTCAGGAGAAACCTTACCTCTTCCTTAAATTACAGTATTTTTCATAGTACAGCATCATATATAATTGAATCTACATTAATCAATATGTAGAAAATATGGTTTCACAGGGAAAAAGGCAAGTATATGGAGTTAGATGGACCACATTTGAATCCCAGTTCTGCCACTCAAAAAGTGTGATTCATAGACCAGCAGCAACCTCTTCAATTATGAGTGTGAGAAATGGGGACTCAGTCCCATGCCAGATTTCCTGAAACAGAATTTGTATTTTTACAAGATCTTCAAGTGATTGTTATGTCGTTACAGTTCAAGAAGCACTGAAATACACTATCTGAGGTGTATTATAAAAGGGTGTGATACCACTTTTCCTGCACGATTTTCAGGGTTCAGTGAGATGTAGTATTTAAAGTGCCTAGGGACTAAGGTGTTCAGTAACAATTGTTCCTTTCCACGATTGCCAAATGCATCCACTTTATCTAAGCACAAGGAATATTGATGGTTTTACAGAAGAGGAATTATTTTTAAAATCTCTTCTTTTAATTATCTCCTCAAGTGAAAGGCCCAGGAGAAATGTCAGCGGCTCCAAGAAAGTGTCCTAGACTCCCGTGAGAATTAAGCTGTTTCCTCCATGTACAAGGAACACTTTGTGCCTTTCACTGGTTATGTATATACATCTGTCTGTTCTGCGGAACATGTGAGCTGGGGTCCAGGACCAAGACCTATCCATTATCTCATTCTCCACAACCTTCAGCACAGTGCTTTTCTGCACAGCTCAAGGAAAATTAAGGTTTGAGGAATCATGGGTGGTACAGTAGCAAAGCAAGAGAGAAAATATTAACATCACCATTTCCAGGTCACCAGGCTTCCAACATTACTACCCCCCATTTATGTGGCCCTCAGGTGTTTAGCATTTTGGAATTGTTTCAAAATAATCCATCTCCTCATCTCCCACCATACAGATGTGCTGTTCTACCACTTCCTTCATCATGTGACTAACTTGAAACGGAGGCAGATCATGATTGTGTTTGACATGCTGGACTGCAAAGCTGTAGGAGATTGGTTTTGACCAGTTCTACACGTTGGTTTGCATACTGCTGGCATGACAGGTGAGTAACAAGTCAGGGTCTGGGGCAGAAGAAGCAGGGATTGGCTGCTGTCACCATCTTGCTTGAAGTAGCACTGAATCAGACTGCATCAGAATTTTTCTTCCTTCCACTCAAAACAGGAAGAAAACATTGGGGGAGAACTACTCTGGGTTCCTGAAGGGTCCATCTCTAACCTAGAAATCGCCAACAATTACCCAGCCTCTCTCCCCCTGCGGTCTCCACCCTTCCATATTGCTTCTTCCAAAAGAACAGCCTCACCTGTCATGTCCCTCTTTGAATCACCAGTCATCCCAATTGCCTCGCTCCCTCGCTAAATCTTTTTCTCTGGAGGGGGTGATGGAGATGAGGAATGCTCTTTGGGGTCCCACCTTACCTTGTACACACTTCTAGTGTGTATTTGCTTATTTCCCACTCCTTGAGGAAAGGGCCCTTGGTCTTCATCATTTCATCACTGCGATGTTTCACAAGTAGATTTTCACTGAATGTGAGGGATGTTCTAGTGACTAAAGTTATGATAGCCGCACTGGTCACTACAGATGGCGGAACTTCCCCTTGAATGCAGATGTTGAAGCACGACTCGATACATTGACCATAGAACCCTGTCATCCTTGAGCTTCTGTAATTTTGCCTTTTGCTTTTAGCTCTCTAGGGAATGGGCTAGTGAATATGAGACTTGAAGTAGCAACAACACTGTTCCTTGTCTTAAGTGTTTCTCTCAAAACAGAACCACTTGGAAGAGCAATTTATCTTCCGCCACTCCCGGCCTGTTTTTGAGCTGCTTGACCTGGATGGGGAGCTCAGAATTGGTGCAGCCAACTTCCACTTGTGTAACTTTCTCTTCAATATTAAAAAACAGCAATTCAAAGAGCTCTACTGCTTTGACATCACAGGTGACTGTGTAAGTGGTGATCCCTGAGGTATGGCCTGGCAACCTCTCTGTCCAAAGGCAGAGGACAATGTCCTACTACTTAGAAACAGGTGCAGAAGGGTGGGAAAACCAGCTGGAGCATGTCATGCAGTGGAATCAGAAAAAAATGGAGAATTATAGGCCTGTGGAAGAGAGAGGATTGAATAAGTGCTACATCATATAATACAGATATAAAATTATAAAAGCTTAGGGAAAGAAATTTTGTTTATAAGTTTTGTTTAGAGAAATACATTGATACGGCAGGAGTTAGTGTTGGAGAAGGGTTTATAGATTTGAATAAACAGAAAGGAAGAAATTCTATAATGGAAACACATAAGCAAAATCCTGAGATAAAACAACTATGGTGAAGACAGTACATTCTGCCTGTTTAAAAAGGAAGTCCATGTTGGGGAAACAGGTGGGAGCTGAGGTTGAAAAAGATGGATCACACTGTGAGGAACCTCAGCTGCCAGCCTGAAGCATCTGGACTTGACATAGAAGATAGTGACCCTTGCTTCCTTTAGTCTCCAATAGTCTCTGCTCCTGGCTCCTAGACTACACTCAGACTATAATTATATCCTAATTACTGAGCCTCTTTAAGTTTCCTAGTTTTTAAGTGAGAAATTATGACAATCTTTCATCTGAAACAAGTATCAAACCCTCTCTGAAATAATTTTTCTTTCTCCCTCTCCAAAAGTGTCTTAGTTACAAGGAATTCAAGCTGTTTACTATCTTCTCCATGGACAAATACCAGGAGAGGCAGAAAGCTGAGAAAGAAAGTTTTGCTCCAAAAGAAGATGTCACATCAAGAGAATAAGACGAGAATATTCTTGGAATAACTAGATCTAAAAGTAGAAGTAATTACAAGTGTTAACAGGTCTAAAAATAAATTTAGATCATTAAAGTGAGTTATCTTTATAGTGACCTTTACATATAAGGGCCTTAAGTGAGTAATCCTCCATCAGGTTAACTTTGACACTTTCCCGACCTCACAGAAGATTCACAATATTGTAATGTAGTGAAGTAGCCACTTCTGTCAACATGTCCCACCTCTATGCTGCTTTTCTATCAACCCTGTTCTTTAAGGTGCCTGTGTATGTAACTACCAACACTTACTGGAGCTAAGTAGCTGAAAGGTGATCTTTCCCAACATTTGTCATGTGGTCCAATACTTTCAGAATCCTTTCTATTCTCCCAGTCCTTGCTAAAGCCACCTGGATGCAAACCACTTCAAATTGGCAAATGGTTAAGTGCCTCCACCCATGAGGGACACTAACTTTTAAGTAGGTAAGAGCTGTGTTCATCCTAGAAGGTGAATTACTCTCTGATGACTTAGGTGCTTAAGCAACTATACCAAATCTACTAGGGTGAAATAATTACTGTATGCCCTCATATAATTTTAATTTTTTTCTGTAATTAATGCCTTGAGTAATTAAAAAATGTTTTTAGCATGGGACTTGTGAATCCTCCCTGACTGTATTGTGATTTTAATGATAACTACCCTTTAGCAATAAGCACTTGCCATGGGTTAGGCAGGTGCTTTAGATGCATGACCTTATTTATCCTCACATTAGGTATGTTATCCTCAATTTACAGATGAGGAAATTGAGGCCCAGCCAGATTAAGAATCTTACCCAAGAGACCAGGATTCAAATTCAAGGTCTATTAGATGCCTGTGCTTTGAGTAAGTGATTTGAGTAACTCAGATCAATTTTAGCAGAATACACTTAAGTTTTCAGCTAGCATTTTGGTGGCTCAGAAACCCCTTCTGAATAATGCTGATGTCCTCTGACCATATGTTTCTGAAGAACACGTTTGGCAATTAAAGAAACACAGCTCATTTACTAAAAAACAAGGTTTTCTTAAGGACACACTAGGTAATATAACTGACCCTGAGGCATTCAGTAAGTTCCACAGTACTTAATCATCATTAAAAATCACTTGTCAATGTGTGACAGACAAGAATACTGCTTATCAAAGATTGTCATTCATAAGTCAAAGTTGTAAGAATAGAAATCATGTCAATATGAACACTCTATATTTCTGCTAATAGACAAGAGATTTTGCTAACACACTTATGAGCATGAGTAATGTTTAGCAGCCAAAACTCCTCTATTCCCAGTGGAATTACAAAAACTAAATGGAAAAAAAAAAGAACCCAAGTCACTTTAACTTCTCATTTCTGGTTTAAACATGGGGGCAATGTTATTTGTCTTAAGGAATTGTTGTGAAGACCAAAAAGATGCAAAGCATGTCACTTATAACAGTCTCTCCCCGATTCTTCCCCAGTGCCCTCTGGCAAACAAGTTTGGACAAGACTACACCTATACAGAGTGCGGTACTGACAGTGCTCTCTGGCTGGAGAATGACACCCAGAGATCAGACATCATTACAAAAGGTCTCCCGACTTACCTTGGGAGAGGTTTCTGCCTCTTTTCTGGCAGCCTAGATGGCTTTTGCCACTAGACAGCCTTTGGACGTCTATCTAGGCATAGTTCTGGTTGGAGAAACTACAATGAGGTCTTAGGAAGGCTTCCCTTGCCCATTTTCCAAGGGGGAATACTCTCAAATATGTGAAGGGTAACTATGACATGTTTTTTGCAGACACAGTCTCTAAAGCAAATGAAGATACTATGCCTTTTATTATTTCAGAATGTGGGCAGAGAGGGAAGAAGGATAGCCAAAGACAATTAGTAAAGTAGGTTTTAATTTTGCTAACTAAAATTTAGATTAGTTTAAATTATTCTAGTCCATTCAATTTAATTATTTCAAATTAACTTAAAATAAATTATCAAACTTAATGACCAAAGTTTCAGGAATGAGCAGGTAGTAGTTCCCCCCTCCTCTCTGGAAATCATCAGGGTAACCTGAAAGGTATCATGATCTAACTATTAGACTAAAAAAATCCTTTTAAGATCATTAGCTCTGATGGGACCAAACTAAAAACTCAGTGTAAAATCTAAAATTCAATTGTACCAGTAAAGTGACACTCCTTTGGGACTAGGAAAGTACTACAGAGAAAATGATCTGTCCCTGTCCACTTCAGGACTTTCTCCCTCCAGTACATTCTTAAATTTTTAAGAAATGTGTTATTTGTAGGTATACATATAGATGTTTCAATTAAGCTTATTTCCACAGTGAATTAACCCACTGTGCTTTTAAGGGTAGAGCTTAAAGACAAGTACATTTAGGCATGTTTTTGGAGGAATGTGTAACACTGTATTATTACTATGTCATAGTTACAGAGAAGTCCTTGGTCAACAAAGCATGTTTGTTCGGTGGCTTAAGCAAAGAACAGGGCAGCAGTACTTCGGAGCAGGTGAACGGCAGGCTTGACTGAAGAGATGACTTCAGTTTCAGCCCACGGCCACAGGACTGGTTCCTCCACAATCTTTATCAGCTACAAAAAGGAAGGTATTTTAGAGGAAGCTAACTAAGCCAAATAAAATCATTCCTCTTCCACTAGTCCCCAGCTCTCAGATGTAATCATCACATGCCCCAAGCCAACAACAAAGACTAGAAAAAGCCAAATCAACTTTGCTGACCCCAGGTGAAGTGGGCAGTTATTCACGTGAGCAGCCCCTACAGGGCCAAAGAATAGAAATAATAGGAGACTGGCCCCAGCAAGGGAGGTTATCAGCCACACACACATTTTGTCTCTTCCATAAGTAAACATACTAAATCATAGCATTTGAGAGTTGGCAGTGAATACAGGCAGATTTGCTAAATTGACCAATTAACAAGGACCATTAAAAAAGCATAGTCTAAAAAACTGTCATAAAGTAAAAGTGGTTTTTTTTTCTCATCAATGGGAAAAAGATAAAAATTATTCAGTAAGAAGTACCAGGAAAAGTGGGATACCTATTTGTTAAAAAAAAAAAAAATTAGTGCTGCTACTCTATTCCTTGAACTAGAATAAACTCCAGATAATGAAACCATAAAGGAAATACTAAAAATATGAGCAAAAATTTTTTGTAATCTCATAATGGAGACCTTTCGAAGGTAGGAAAACCCAGAAGCTATAAAGTACAAGGACTGATAGATTTGCACATGGCAAACTACACAAAAACAAAAACAAGCGGTAACACATAATAGAAAACACTAATTTCCTTAATACAGAAAGGGATTTACAAATCAAGAGGATAAATACCAAAATGCACTAGGCATATGGGCAAACATAAATTGACAATGCACAGGGAAGAAAAACAAATGGCCTTAAAATATATAGTTAAATGTTAACCTTCAAAGAAAAAACTACAGGATACAGATTTTCACTTAAGATGTGAAAGATTAAAAAGTTTCTCAGGGCATAGGGAAATAAGAGCAGTCATACACTCTCTTAACAAAAGGATTAAATTGGAAAAATCTATTTGGAGGGCCATCTATTTGGACATATACCATCTAAATGTATATACTCTTTGATCTAGCAATTCTCCCTCTTCAAGAGTACATTCTACACAAAGATGTAGGTATAGAAAAGGACACTTCATAGCAGCATGGTTTACAGTAGCAAAGAACTAGAAACAGGCAAACTGACCACAGTAAGAGGCTGAAATAACAGCGGTATTCCTGCCAGTGGAATGCCACTGTAGCTATGAGAGGAATGCAGCAGTGTGTAAAATCTCTGAATTCATCATTTTAAAGAAAAATCAAAGGTGCAGAATAGTATATGTAACTATGGAAAAAACAAGGGTGGGTGAATGTACACACATATGTACTGGAACAGTGGCTCTCATGGTGCGACCCTTAGACCAGAAGCAGCATTACCTGAGTATGTTTAGAAATGTACATTATGGGGCCCACTCAGGCCTACTAATTTGGAACCTCTGGGGGAAGAGTCCAATGATCTGTGTTTTAATAAGCCTTCCAAGTAATTCTGATGCATCTCAAGTTTGAGAACCACTATGCTAGAGTTAAAGGCACCCAGAAAATGGGTGACAGCTATTACCTCTGGGTAGAAGAAACAAAGAGATGAGGAACAGGTATGGAAAAGAGGCTTCACTTTGGTATGTTTGGATTTCTTTCCCCATGGTGTGTATCACCTATTTTAAATAAAAAATTAACAATAAAAAACCTGCCACTTTGATCCAAAATGGATGAGAAATGAACTCAGTGCTTCTGAAAAGCTGAATTACAAGTTTTGGGTTATGGCATCATTTTTAAAAAGAAAAAAAACCACCACCTATTTTAGACCAAGATTTCAATGTAGTAAATAAAGCATCTCTGTAAATGACCATGTAGGGTTTGGCATAGCAGAGCCTAAGTTTGGTAATAATGAAGTTATTGATTCAGCTGGGGTTTTAAAAAGGAGGAAAACCTTTTTAGAGGTTTTATTAGAATGAGGCAGGTTATCCTTACGTAGAAAGCAACAATTAAAAACCCAGAATAAAGGCAAAGACAAAGAGAAAAATTGAACTTTTTTTTTTTTTAAAAAAGCACAAAAACCCTACATACTAAAATTGTACACATCAAGTATTGGTCCAATCTTACATCAATCTATTTACAATTAAACAGCACCATGGTTTTCTCACCTAGGTTAGTTAAACATGCCCAGAAAACTGTTATAAAGTATATGTTCCTTTAAAATTAAAAAAAAACAAAAACAAAAAACTCTTAGGAGAGCTCAAATCCTCAAAAAAGGACTTTTTACCAACCACAGATTACTAATATCACCCAATTTACTTAAGAAAAATAGGTTTGAATGCTTTCTTTTTCCTGGTTGACAAAATTTGAGATGTTGCTATTCAATGTGGCACACAACTTAACAAAGAAACTCTTTGATGGTAGTGGTGTTATACTGAAACACCCTCATACCTTTGCATCCAAATATAAAAATACTCCTTTCGAATTAATGTTATTTTATCTTGAATTTAGATTCAATTATCAGCAAACCTAAATGAGAGTAGCCACAATCTTTAAAATAATTGCAGAGAAAAGGGAAGTGGGTAAAGCTCTCATAAACATGGTAAGTTACAATCATAGATAATATATCTAAGCAGGCTATAGAATTTCAAATGTTACATTTAAACTAATTAGCAATTTCGTTTTGCCACTAAAATTAATAATGGTGCTTCACATCCAAACAGGTGTGAAGGCTTGATTATTTCCCAACTGAGAACAGCCTTAAGTGCCTTCTTGCCTCTCTTTTTCCATCTCATGGATTCTCAGGGGTACAGTGATTATGTGGTAACCCCCTACTCACTTAAGGAACCAACTTTTAAAAGGCTCAAAATTAAATATAATCCTTGCCAGCTTTATTCCAGTCATAGTACAAAATAATCGGGTTTTCTCACCACATTTTTCAGTCTTCTAATTTTCAGATGGTTCTTAATTTGCCTCTTTGCTAGGAAAGATGAGAGAGTTAAACTGTCATCCACCGCGACTAGTGAATAGTGAACTGGAAAGCAGGAAAGTATAAAGCACTGTTTCATCATTTGGTCTCACTGCTGAAGTTCAAATAATAGTAAACCTTTCACACTAGTAAATTATGCGTTGAAATTTTTTCTACAAGATTGAAAATAGGCACAATTCTCCCAGGTACAGATAGAATGGGTTTTCCTTACAGCCTTCCTGCACACTATGGGCTAAAAGATAATTATTATCCTATAGTGGGAACAGCTGTACTTGATTCCTTACATTTCCTGGGTACCAGTATCCATGCATGTGGGGGCATACTTAGCTCTGGGAAGTTCCAAGCAGCGTGGGTAGATCAATGAAGGTATTATACAGTAGTGACCATCTAAGCCTGGATATGAAAACAGTTTCATTTTACAGACATTTCAAAGTACTATGCAGCAAGACACCTTACAACTGACTATCAGTTGAAAATCAGGGATCTGACTGCAGTGACTCTATTATTGCCTAGTGTTCCAGAAGGGTACCTGCCACCAAAGTGCTTGAAGGCACCAAAATTTAGTGTGATTGTAAATAAGGGAACCTCAACATATGGGGATGGGGAAAGCAACACTGAAACACAATTTGCCAGTCTGTGCTCCTTTACGGCTAAATATTAACTGAGCAAATTAAGATCAGAATAGAAGCATACTTCAAATACTGCTTTTTTCACGTTCCATTTTAAAAAACTCAAGTTTTTATAACTATTAGTGACGATTTCCAGAATTTATATTGATTTTTTAAAATTCTATGTTCACAAGGTGCTTGGTGCTGTTCTTTGTGGACACAACTTTCTATTTACAGTCCAAAGCATTTAAATGCAGCCATTACATTGTTGTTGGGTGTTTTAAAATAAATCGTTATCTATTTTTTTAACTGCCTTTCAAACGAGAAATTGTAATTAACATGAGTCTCCAAGGGTGGCTCTTTGTTTTATTGTTTTTGTTGGTCTCCATCACAGATGGAATTTTTCACTGGTAATTCCTCGGAACTAAATCCATTCATACGGAATTCAGAGCAGTGAAAATAGATTTCACACCATAGAGTAGGAAATGACAACAATAAAAAGGAGCAGGAGGGTTCGGGGAAGAGCTAATAGGTCCAGTTCAGTTCTCTACCGGCGTTGGGTTTTGCAACGGCTGGCTTATTATAACCTGTACGACATAGTCCTTTGGGATCTTCAGCTCTTCCAACTTCATTTTGTCGGTGAGAGGTCTGCCAGAAAAGAACCATCGCTGACTACTTGGTTCCACTCCTTCTGCTGCATGTAGCCGCCTCTTCATGTGGTATACTGTGTCTGTGCTGCGGACCACAAGTTTGAGGTCTTTGCCTGTGGAAAGGCGCAAACGGAGTTGACATTCATATCCAGAATTAGGTGGCGGCTCAGGAATATCCAGAGTCTCTATGTCACTCTTTTCCTCGATCATGTTGATCGGCGGTGCCAAGCAATAGACTGGAAGCTGGTATCTGTTTCCCAGTTCATCATAGCACTCTGTAAGTGCACCTTCAGAAAGAGAAGATTTAAGAGCTTAATCTAAATGAATGCATTTTTGTTTATACTTGCAAGATGCTTACTCAAGCCTCTTTTGCTAGCTTGCCACTGTAGAGAAAAAATATATAAAATAAAGCCAAACACTGTCAGCTGATATCAATGATGATTACCAAGGCTCATGAATAATTATTTGTGTATTCACCTAATTTTACATTAACCAAGACCCTATCTCCTTACCCTCACCTTCAAAGTGATTTCATAACTAATTCACCCTTACATTAAAAGGTAAAGGAAAAGAAAGCATAAAAATTCAAATTTGATTAATGCTTAGACAGAATTAAAGGGAGGTTCAAATTACATTTGGGATGTCTTTTAAATAAATAAACAGATTCCTAAACCCAACCACCACAACAGTGTTTCAGAGCTGTTTTTGTAGTGCCTAGACTTCTTGAATTGAAGTACTTGGCCAGAAGTCCTTAGTCCAAAGAGACTGTGAACTAGAGATGGCAAGCCTACCAGCTGCTGCCGGCTCCTGGCTCATGTATGCATTTCATTAGTGCAGCTATCATAGAAATGACTGAGGTGTTCTCAACACCCCAAAAACAAAAAACCCGATTAACAAATGGGCAGAGGATATGAAGAGACAGTTCTCCAAAGAAGAAATTCAGATGGCTAACAAGCACATGAAAAGATGCTCCACATCGCTAATCATCAGGGAAATGCAAATTAAAACCACAATGAGATGTCACCTCACACCAGTAAGGATGGCCAGCATTGAAAAGACTAAGAACAACAAATGTTGGCAAGGATGCAGAGAAAGGGGAGCCCTCCTACACAGATGGTGGGAATGTAAGCTAGTTCAACCATTGCGGAAAGCAATATGGACGTTCCTCAAAAAACTAAAAATAGAAATACCATTTGATCCCGGAATCCCACTTCTTGGATTATACCCAAATAATACAACTTCTAAGATTCAAAAAGACATATGCACCCCTATGTTCATCACAGAACTTTTTACAATAGCCAAGATATGGAAGCAACCTAAGTGTCCATCTGTAGATGAATGGATAAAGAAGATGTGGTACATATATACAATGGAATACTATTCGGCCATAAGAAAGAAACAAATCCTACCATTTGCAACAACATGGATGGAGCTGGAGGACATTATGCTCAGTGAAATAAGCCAGGCAGAGAAAGACTAACACCAAATGATTTCCCTCATTTGTGGAGTATAACAATGAAGCAAAACTGAAGGAACAAAATAGCAGAAGACTCAGAGACTCCAAGAATGAACTAGTGGTTACCAAAGGGGAGGGGTGGGGGAGGGCGGGTGGGGAGGGAGGGAGAAGGGGACTGAGGGGTATTATGTTTAGTACACATGGTGTGTGGGACCACGGGGAGAACAGTGTATCACAGAGAAGGGACATAGTGGATCTCTGGCAACTTGCTGCACTGATGGACAGTGACTGCATTGGGGTCTGGGTGGGGACTTGATAATATGTGTAAATGTAGTAACCACATTGTTTTTTCATGTGAAACCTTCATAAGAGTGTATATCAATCATACCTTAATAAAAAATTTTAGGAAAAAAAAAGAAGAAAAAAAGAAAAGGAAATGACTGAGGTGTTTTATTTAACCTCTATTAGTCTATCTGTACAGAGAAGCTATGGATTAAACAGAAAGAATGAAAAGGCTACGAAGTTTATAACCAGATAACTCTGAGGATAGAAAAAAGCATTTATGGTCTAAAAGGAGGTATTAATGGCTAATTTCTTTATAAAGCTTTTAATTACCAAGACTTCCCTTGGGGAGCTTGAAAGCATACTTAATGAATGCTTTATCGCAAGGCTATTCATAACGTGTCCTTTGCTCAGACTGGAATATTAATGTCAGCTGATTATCATCAATTCAGGTAAAAAACAAAAGCATCTATCATATTCAAAACACCCATACATAGGCTAATGAATATGGGGAGTGGGACACTGAGAAATAGTTATCAATGAACAAATGAGTTCATGAATGTAGCTCTGTAGTCCATTATCAATGGACTGAAAATACAAAGCATTCAAAATGAAACTGGAGCCGTCACCATCCCCACCATGGGTTGGACTGGATCTACCTTAAGATGGGCTGGGGTGAAAATTCAGTCACCAGGCATAACACAGATGAATATCCCCTTTCCTCTGTGTTTAAAGATATTGTTCAGCCTCTGTTGTTTACCAATTAATGTATACACTACTATGACACTGTAGAAATGGACATACTTCAAGCACAGTTTAGTGATCACAAGCAGCTCCCTAACCTAGTAACCACCTCACTGCAGTACCAGTATAAATAGGGGTATAGTTGTGCAAACCTCACTTTTATGTACCATATACAGCCTAGTCCTGAGGCAAAGAAGCCTACTGGTGTCTTTCAGATGGGCCGGCCATCAGGAGAAATAGGAAAGAGAAAGTGGAGAGTTCACCACAGACCCATCACCTCTATTAGGAAAACACTTTCAGAGACATAGCCCTGATACTGTGGGGTTAGTACTATCATTCTGGTAAGCACAAGAGCATATATATGTGATTGTTCTGCTAGAAAAACATTCCCTCAGCAAGGCACCATTCCCAATCACTACCTTTGGAATCAGGAGACCAAGATGAAATTCCCAGTCTTGTACAAACTAGAGCAATATTCTTTAACATGAAATACCTTTCTCAATCAGCAAAATGAGACAGGATAAAACCTCTAAAGTGGTTTCCAGCTTTGCACATGTTTCTTCACCTATGTGCACAATAGATTTAAAACAGGTGTGCAAACCAATGCAGCCCAACTACAGGGAGAACGATGTTTTGACAGAAAAGCAGCCTACATTCTTAGTCTCTCTGGAAGCTAGGCCTCAAGATGACACAGCAGCCTGTGTACAGTGCTAAAACAGTAGCGCATGCCAACCTCAAAACCAAACATATAACAAGCACTTTAGCTCTTTCTAATGGGAAGCAGAGTATGGGAAGCAGAGTCTTCACCCTCCTGCCCTTCAGCCTAGCAAGTCAGGGGTTCAGTTTTCAGATCTCAAGTGGGTGAGAACAGAAACTCCATGGAAGAGGTACAGCTGGATGGCATACCCTCTTATTCCAGCTCAGGCAGTGCTCATATCTTTGATGCTAGAAATAAGCTATCCAGATTCTATATTGCTTAGAATCTTCCCTAGTTAAATATTCTTGATAAAGGAAACTTGCATTTTACTTAAAACAAAGTTTTCTGATTTATCTGCTCTTTTTCTTACTTTTGCCTGTTGAATTATAATGAGTTATAAATATTCTCCAGTTTTAGATTAAACTAAAAACTAAATAGTAGAAAAATCCAGACCATGATCTAAGTACATTTAGGCTC